TACTAAGTCAAAATCAGCAAATTTAAATTAGATATAACAAATTGATGAGAAAAAGGAACTGTTCTCAATTGAACACCATGATTTAATTTCTCACCTGATCTCGCTGGAGTGGTACTAATTCTGCGGAGCCATTATTTGGAGTTGGCACAACTTTAGCCAAGGTGGCTTTCCTTGGACTGCGCACCTGAAAGACAAATAGTTTGAACAACCAGTCTTTAGAATTTGGATCAAATTAAGCAATATTTAGTATTTTCTCCACAATTGAGAAGAAACAGCTGCACTTGGGGGTAAAGCTACATTTGTATTAATTGTACTGGTTTTATCTAAACTTGAAATAGGTAGGTTGCAATCACCGTCTCTGAACAATGAAATATTCAGTTTAATGCGACTTGTAAATTGATATCAAATGTTTAACACAACCAAAATTCAGTTAATACGAGGCTAGCACACATGCAGTTGCACTTGAAGTTTTAGACAGTTAATCTTTGTGCGTGCAAAATAGAAAAAGATGCTGTCAGAAGAAAACAGTACATGTTTAGAAAAAAGAGGCTCATTACAACAGAGAAAAAATTTGATGCAACTAAGTGACTGTTGTGATCTAGGCTTCCTGAGTCATTAAAACACATGGGTAGTCACAAAAACCTCTTTTATTGCAACAGCTGTGAATTACGTTCATTCACAGCTGAGTCCCAATTAGTTGCAAAAACTAATATCCTTCGGGATAATCACCAACCTTTATCTCCCTTGACACTCTGCCAAAGACCTACTTGGCAAACGGAGTCAAGAATCAAACAGAGATGCCGACTGGGAACAGAATTAACGACGTTGCTTTCCTGCAAAGGGCCCACGTGCCTTTGCTCCTCTTTTAAGCCTTATGGGAGGGGCCAATCATCTCCAGGCCTTACTCCCGAGTTATCCCTTTTTAACTGTTCTTGCCTTCTGGCAGCTCTGCGCATGCGTGCACTAGGAACAGGCTCCTCCTGTTCCTCTGCCACTCTGATGTCCGACTCTGGAGCCTCTGGAGTCCGTGCATAACTCGGGGACAGGGACAAGATGGCCCTGTCCCCATCTCTGCCACCGACACAGAGCCCTCATCCGAGCCTTCCCCAGACTCCAGGACTGGCCCATGTTCCTCCCCAGCCTCCTTACTGTCCAACTCCGCTGCCAGCTCTGCAGGCTGCTGGTGGACCACAACAGTGACATGAATATGATCATATTGTAGCAATGCTAAAATAAGATAAATCCCTGAGGACTTTTAAAAAAAAAATTGCTTTCTATAACTATTTTGCAATTTTAACAATTTAAAGTAGATTCTTTTTACTGTAATATTTCATTAATATACATATCAAAAATTATGTACATACATATACAAAATTTTGTATATTATGTACAAAATTTTTCATTGACTATTTCCACTGAGCTGTAACCAATTACCATAACGATTACCTTGAAATTTCACTTTGCATAGTAGAAATTTAAATAATGCAATCATTTTGTAGGATTCATTAACCACGCCACTTGCAAAAAAAATCCTGTAGTTTCCTTCCTTTGTTCATCAAAGACAGCATCCCCTGGGCTAAGTGAGTAGCATTGGGGAGAAACTGTTTCTACAGTTGTGTCTCATTTCTGAAACGCTCTCCTCAAAAGAAGTCCATCAGGCATTGAACAAATGAGCTTCAAGTATTAGCCTATGACTTTATCGCATGCACTGTCTGATAAAAAAAAAAATCTTAATTCTTGATTCGACTGCTTTTGCTTGGGGTTTTGAAGAACTTGGCTTAATATTTTGTATTATAACTAATGGAAGCCTGCAATTTACCTTTGACATTTCTGGAATAATTGGACACAGAACATATTAATACTTAAAATGAATGAACCATGGCAATGTATCAATTCTAGAAAGCAACCGTGCAAAGCAATATCTAGATGTTTGTTATAGTTTAGTCCTCCCCCTCCCCCTCGGCAGATCATTTAAGAATTAGTGAAGGCTTCTTCCATTAGGCCTGCATATAATAAGAATTGTGCAAAATGACCTGCCCGGAAGGCTTTGAAGCCTTCTAAACAATGCAGGAGGTTATGAGTGAGAAAATAATTGAGGAACACCACTAAATGACAATAAGAGGCAGAAAGTTACAGTTTCATAATCTTTCTTTGAATCAACCTATCCTAAGATCAAAGTCATTGTTAGCTACATTCTATTAAAGTACATGCTTTGTTAAAGGCGAATGCCGCTGACACCAACAGTTACTAAATTCAGATTATGATTCCAGTTGGTCTGTTGTCCTACTGCTGAAATATACCCAATTCATTTTAACCAATATTATCCATTCCAACTGAAATTTTTTCAGCCATGGGCAGATTTGTTCTATGACTTTGAAACTGGGACATTTTGGAAAACAAACTGAATATATAGCCATGAATTACAGACTTTTCATCATCTCTTTCAAAGACAGCAATGAAAACCATATGAAAGTACAGTAATGTCATATGACTCCTGTTAGAGGCAGATATAATCAAATTACTATCATAAATGCAACAGTAGAATGTCCAGTGGTCTGACATTATCTTTACCAGAAATTAGATAAGCCTTTAGCAAAAGAACAACTAGCATCCTATCTTGTACAAATTTCTTCTCCAGCCACTATTGCAATGAAGCTTTAACATAGCAAAACCACAAGCAGCATTTATATTTATATTACTTTTCCAAAGAAAAGAGAAGCTAGAAATCTACTTTTAAGTCTCTGTGTCACTGTGACAGTCTGATCAGTTATTCTGTAATTTCCAAACTGGGCACTGAAATATATTAATGTATATGTTGATACTGACAGGCTCTAGGAAACTCAATTTTGTTCCAGAGAAAAATATGCCTTCCAAGAATGGAAATTTGGGAAATACTTAATTGTTCATGAAAGATAAATATTGTAGAGAATTTTAAAAAGGAATAGAGGTGAGAAATTGTCATTCAATAGGTAATCAAGTTCAATCAAGAAAATGACTGATGTGCTCAGATACACTTTCCCTTTTGCTTTTGTTTAGAGGTGCAAAACTTTAATAGAATCACCACTTACTTGTTTCTTCTGATAAGCAAGCGCTCACATTTGGAAATCAAGAAACCAAAACTTCCCAAAATAATTAGTAGTTGGGGGAGGAGAAAGCTTAAGCCTATTTTCCCTGGAGAAAGCCACACTAATTTACAAAAATATTAAAAATATGTTAAATAAAACTATCATGACTAAAGCTAACAATTCTTTTAAAAAAAACACCACCATTAAAAAACCCTTCATTTTTAAAAAAAGGAAAACAGGCAATCAAAAATAACCCATCCATATCAATGAGTTTAAAGAAAAGAATCTCAAGCAGATTTACATTCATTAAAATTCAAATGACCACTTCCTATCGCATTGTTACATCCCTAGATTCCAAAATAAGCAATCTATGTATGTAGAATAAACTGCCTTTACATGCAAAAAGAAACCTATTCACTTTAACCTGAGCACATTAAAACTAGAGTCAGGACATTAAACAAGAGTAAGCTTAACAAAAGTGTGTGCCTCAGCAAGTGTGTCATGTTTGTTTTCATAACAAAGCCTCAAGTAGAAGCACAATACAGAAGCAAAATCCCAGTGACTCCACGAGGCTTTACAGCTGTTCTCTCCTTTCAGTCTCAACAGCATTTGGATTTAAGACTCAGGCTTCACTCCTGGTACCCCCCTCAGGAGAGAAGTGCAAAATTTGGCCTTCTTATCAGTGAGTCCAGAATCCCCGTGCAAGGAACCTCTCTAGACACACTTGAGCACCGACACCTCTTCAAGAAAGTACAGGTAGTCCTCAACTTACGACCACGATTGAGCCCAAAATTTCTGTTGCTCAGTGAAAAAATTGCTCAGTGAATTTGTCCCATTCTTACAACTTTTCTTGCCCTACTTGTTAAGTGAATCACTGCAGTTTTAAATTAGTAACATGGTTGTTAAATGAATCTGGGTGCTTGTCGGATGGTCGCAAAATGACCCCTGAACACTGCAACCCTCATAAACGTGAGTTCAGCTGTCAAGCATCCGAATGGAAATCCTAGGACCACGGGGATGCTGCAGTGGTCATGAAAAAAAACGATCATAAAGTCACTATTTGCGGTGCCTTTTGTAACGTCGAACGGTCACTAAAGGAACTGTTGCAAGTCGAGGACCACCTGTAAAGCCTGCAAAAGGTTTCGGGGCTTGGGAGGGGGGCAGAAATGGGAGACTGCTTCTCTCCACTTCTCCTGATTTGATCTCAGAAGCCCCAGGCAGAGAAAACTATTGCCAATCTGTGCAAGGGTGATACCCCCCCTTGCCCGCCCACCCACCCACCGCCATACCGCGCGCCCCTCTCCCGCGTGGCCTTTGGGTCCCCTCCTCCCTGCCCGGCGCGGGACTGACCCAGCAGCAGTAGAGCAAGCAGTGGACGTTGACGCTCCACAGGCCGGCTAAGGCCGTGAGAAGGTGGACGACTCCAATGGCGGCGAGGAAAAGAAGCGCAGCTTCAGGGGTCTCGGTGCCGGCGGCTGATCCCCAAGCCCAGGCGAAGGCGCTCGCCCCCCAAACCCACAGCCAGAGCGGGTACAGGACGCAGAAGGGCAACACCGTCCCCCATAGCAGACGCGACCGCCTCCGATATGGGATCACGTCTTGCACCAACTCGTCTCCCGGGCCCGGGCCGGGACCGGCCTCCGCCGTTGCCACCATCCTTCTTCCGTGAGCCGCCGCCGGCTCGCTTCGAGCTCGCTTCCTTCCACTTCCGGGGTAGGCGCCAATGAATCGCGTTGAGCGAGCATGCTCCGGGCCTGGGCGGCAAAAGTGCGCATGCGTCGCTCCTTCGGCAGCGCCGATGGAGCCAACGCTTCACCCTCACGCCCCTTTATGAATGAGCTATACACGTGGCTCTCCGCGAAGCGACGGCGGCGTTCCGACCGCGCGCGCGTGCGCGAAAGCGTGAGGCGTTCTCTCGTGTCCTGGTGACAGGGTTTTAAGCTCCGCCCCGCCCCCGCCGTGGCTCGTTTGAACATGCGCAGAAGAGGTCCGGTGGTGGGGGGGGAGCATGCGTGTTGGGGACAAGGCAGAAACGAGCGTGGGTTTGCGGAGCCGAGTGCGGCATGTGAGTGTGTGTTTTCTTTCAAGCTCTGCTCCAAAGCCCTTTTTCTGATCTAAGGGAAAACTCGGGTTTTTTTTTTTCCTTCCTCGGTCTTTAACTTGCATCTGCAGAGGTTTCAATCTATATTACTTACCGTCAGGATCAGATTGGATGCACACATAACCCAGTGACTATGTTGCCTGCAGGTGTCAACTTGATCGGTTTGGGAAATCAGGAGAGCGGCAGACGGGGACATTTTGGCTGCGGATTTCCAGTACTTGCTTACTTTGTATGTGATGATACAGTATCACCACAAGTAGCAGCCTTGCTGGATCTCCTTTTTAAAGCTGTTTCAATTGGTGACCTTGACAGCACATGGTAGTAAATGGTGGGCGGTGATGTAGGAAAACTTACGCAATAATGCATATATTATCTTTGAAACTCTGCAAGTTATAAGGTTGTGTAATAGCCCGAGTGAGAAAGAGAGAGAGAGAAAATTAAGTTTTAAAGTCCCAAGGGAAGGGAAACCAGTTTCTGGCAGGTTTTTGGTGAGTAAACTGGGCTAGCTCTTAAACAGTGTTTAAATCAGTTAGAAGTAGCCACTTGCGTGTGTTTTTCATATTGCTTTAAAGCAGTGGTTCTCAACCTTCCTAATACCACGGCCCTTTAATACAGTTCCTCATGTTGTGGTGACCCCCAACCATAAAATTATTCCTAAAACCATTAAAAATATGTGTTTTCCGATGGTCTTAAGCGACCCCTGTGAAAGGGTCGTTCGACCCCCAAAGGGGTCCTGACCCACAGGTTGAGAACCACTTCTTTAAATGTATACTAAACCTTTTTGCATTACTTTTTATCTGTTTTTGGTGGAAAGGCAGAGTGTACATTCAGGATTTTTTTAAAAAAAAAACTTGTCTCCCTCTCTACAGGCAGGCAGCTCTGGAAATAACCTTGCGGTACTGCCACAAAGAAACCGAGCAATATGGCCGGTGTGTGGCTGCTAACCCTTCTTCCTGGCAGCAGGACTGTCACCAGCTCAAACTTGACATGGCCAAATGTACATCATCCCAGTAAGTTCCCTTGGGCTGGAGGGGTGTTTTGCCTTTGTGGGGAAATCAGCTTTGATTACAGTAATTGAGGAACGTCCGCTCAATTATCTGCCTGTAGATTTCATAACATTACTGTGTGCAGCCACTGCAACTTGCTAGCTGTGACAACAATGTATCCCATCATTTCTACTAAGTTCCTCCCCTGTTCTTTGTCCATGTTTTCTTATTTATAAATCTATGGGACTTTTATTGTAGCCCAATTGTTCAGAAGATTCGCCAAGATTGTGCTGAGCCATTTACTGCATTCGAGGAGTGCCTTAAGACAAATCAGAGTTCTTCAATCAAATGTTCTGAACACCTCCAAAAGTTTCTCCTCTGCGCTGACCAGGTGAAACTGAATACATAAGGTTGGTGCCCCTAAATGTTTGCATTGGTCATTGGCATATGTGTGTATTCATAAATAAAATAATAACGGGGTGAGCTCTGGTTACTTGTCCCAGCTTCTGCCAACTAGCAGTTCGAAAGCATGTACAAAATGCAAGTAGAAAAATAGGGACCACCTTTGATTGGAAGGTAACAGCATTCCGTGTGCCTTTGGTGTTTAGTCATGCCAGCCACATGACCACGGAGATGTCTTTGGACAGCGCTGGCTCTTCGGCTTTGAAACAGAGATGAGCACTGCCCCCTAGAGTCAGGAATGACTAGCACATATGTGCAAGGGGAACCTTTACCTTTTACAATTCATTTATTGTATATCTTGCCCACATTGTAGCAGCCATTTGACATAATGTGGTGAGAAAAGCTGAAATAACTGACATATCATATTTTTCAGAGTATAAAATGCACTGGAGTATAAGACGCACCTACCTTTTTTGGTTTTTTTTTAAAAAAAGTTTTTTTTTTTTTAGACAAACACACATACAAACATACAATGTATTTTTTTTGAACAGAGTATTTGGCTGGTTCACAAATTTAAACAGTGTTTAGTCATTTCAATTAAATTTACAATTTCTATATTTCCTTTTTGCCATATTTATTCCTTATCTATTTTTTTAAAAAAAACAATATTACCCTTCATCCTCATCTCTAATTTTAATCAAATTCAATTTTCCCTTCTATTCTATATTATATCCCTTCCCATTGTCATCTATTTTTATATCCATCCTCACATTGGTTAATTATATAATATTACAATTGTTTAATACAAATTTAACATTTTAATATAAATCAATTAGTTATATAACTATCTTTTTTGTATATTAATATGAACATGAATATTCCAATTATTTCCATGCAATCCAATTTCTTACAAATTAATTAATTATATTTACCAATAATAATAAACCAAATAATTTCCCCCTCTTATGTTACTCATTTTCACATCTTAAACTCTCCCAATAACCCACATAGTTTTGCTCATGTAATCCTCCAAATCACAACTTAATCATTTCTACTTTCATCACAATATATAATTAAAAATATTTCAATCATTACAATTTCCCTAGTTAAATTTAAAAATGTTCTGTTATCCAAGCTATAATTTAATCCTTTTTACTTTCACCACCATATACCATTAAAGGTATTTCAATTGTTACAGTTTATACTTATTTATATTTCTAAAAAAAATAAAAACTTATTGTATAGATTTCAAAAATACAAAGACAAATATTCCAGTTATTATTCATTTCATTTTTACAATCATGATTTCCCATTTATTTCTTACTACTATTCATATTTCAATTCTAAATATGTATAACCTTTTTCTCTTTCATTTCTTTTTCTTTTTCTCCCTTTCCATTTTTATTTTTGCCTTTTTCTTTCTCCTTTTTTCTTTTGTGTTTAAAATCTTGAACTCTCTTCTTTTACCCTAAATTTCCCATTGTTTGCACCTACTTTTTTTTGGTGAGGAAAAAGAAGAAAAAGAAATCTCCCTCTGCCTCTGCTTACTTTTGCCTCGTTACAGCAAACAGCCTGCTTTACTTTCAGTTTCGTTTTCAGCATAGCTTGATTAGCATAAGGGAAAAAAATCTGCTCCAGCAATTTACCTCTTTGCAGCAAGCAGCAGAGCCCTGTGCAAAACAGCTGAGAGCAAATCAGCTGAGAGTCAGGAGGCGATCTAATCAACTTGTGCTAATTAGTCTATGCTGAAGCTGAAAGGAGCTGTTTTTTCTTGCTGTTTGCTTGTAAGGAGGTAACTGCTGCAAGGCACAGGCCAAAGGTTGGGGGCCAGTGGGTGGGCAGGGCTACATTCGGTGTATAAGACGCACCTAAATTTTCACCCCCTTTTAGGGGGTTAAAAGGTGCGTCTTATACTCCAAAAAATACGGTATATGTCACACAAGTAGTAACAATATCTTCTTCCTCTACAAAGGACACAGGAGTCAAAAATATAATTGAACAATTATTGTTCTCTTGCCCCAAGACCAAAGTGCATCACTGTGAAACTTGAGAGGTGGTGGTTGGGCCAAAAAGAACTTCTATCATCTGGAGTTTATTGTCATTTCTGTACATAACATGGACATTTTTGCTGCATTGAATTTCTTATAATGAGCGGAAAGTAGTAGCTGATGAACTTCATTGCATTCACCAACTGGGCAAATGCATATTGAAATCATACATTGCACTCTTTATATTGATTGATTGATGATTATGTGCCATCACGTTGCTTTTGACTCCTAGTGACCACAATGATAGTTCCTCCCCCTCCCAAATGATGATCTATCCCTAACCCATTCCTTGAAATCTCCCAATAATGCAGTCATTGCTCTTGTAAGTCCATCCACCCTGCTGGTGGTCATCCTCTTCTTCTCTTTCCTTCCACCGTTCCCATTTTTTTTTCACATCACCTAATGTGTCTGAAATAAAATACCCCCTAGAACAGGCCTGTCAAACTGGCAGCCCATGGGCCAGATGTGTCACACCCACCCCAGCTCTGCAAAGGCAAAAACGTCATGATATGTCATGTGACCTGATCGAGTTTGACACCGGTGCCCTAGAAGATAATTAGTGTACTGACTTAAGTCACCTAATTGAACACCTAATTGAATTGAATTAGTCACCTAATTTGGGCTTAGTGGACTCTTAATTTAGAAAACAGTACTTAGGCAGTGAGCTGTTGACAAATCAGTTTGCAAAATGACTGGAAGACTATGACAATTCTTTGCTTGTTTATCTTGCATTTGGGAAATATGCTCATTTTGGACCCTGGATGGTATAACTAATGAATTTTGGAAGGGTAATATTTCATTTTGTGTGTATTTTCTCTCTCCCCTTTTTTCACAATCCAGCCTTTTGATTTCTTCCGCAGAAACTTTGCTATTCCTTGAAGTGACATTATGACTAAAAAATTTGACCAGCAATGGCACCAGTTCTCACCTGTCATGAAGATATCTTTCCTAGTCTTCAGCATCATTCATTTATCTGCAGCCATCCAAGATTTCTCAGCTTGGCCCATTGAAATGGAATCTCAATTTACAAACCCAGGTATCTGGGGTAGATATTTTATTATGCCTGGAACTTTTGCAGGCACTATACAGTAAACTGGCAAAAACCCCAAATAATCTTTTCTGACCCAATTTCGCAGACCGAATTGCAACGTTCTATGGCTCAAAGCAGAGTGATGCAGGCAGATTAATGAACAGAAGAAAAATGGAATCTTATTTTGCCATGGAACTTCTCTGAAAGTATTTTAATCTTCTCTTATAAACTGTGAAACTTGCCTCAGGGTATCCTGTTTATGCCCAGCTAATGGGCAACAGCTAGCTAACTTTGACCTGAAAAAATCTAAAACAAGGTCAGACTTAATTACTTAGATGGAAAGTCACCATATACTACCATAGTTGTATACAGATTGGGAAGCCAAAAAGAAGTCTCCAAAGAAGATACAGATAAATGGTCTTTTTTTTGTATTGTTACCAAGAAAAATACATGTTCATGCCACTCAGTCACTAGGATACAAACTTGATTTAGAGGAGACATGAATATAGTACTTTTATTCTATTTGTAGTCAGTAGAGGGCACTCTGTAAACATCTGAACGTTTTTGATTCTTTGTTTTATGGCTGTGTTGTAAAAAGGTGACAAGAAAAATGACATAAAATGCAATGTTACATTAATGAAGTTCAACAGTTGTCAGTCTTAACTATCCTATGCTTCTGACTGGATTTATATTCATAACTTTGAATACTATTGGAGTGATGTTTGTAGTATTACATGTGTCAATGCATTGCTTATATTACTTAGTGGGATACGAGTTTTGGAAAAAATTACACAGTATTCTGAATTGTCATGATAGGGTAGGGGAAATGATTTGTAAGGCATGAATAAATGTGCAAGAATGAGAAAATCAAATGACCTAATATTGAATGGCCATGGTGACTATTTGATGAGTGCCCTCTTAGAAAAGAAAAGATTTAAGCCTGTCAATCCATACATATGCATGGAAAAATGACTGTAAAGCTAAAAGCATGATTGATTTGATTGTTTATGATGGCAGATTGAAATAATTAGTGAATGATATAGGGGTATTGCAAGGTTCTGAATGTGAGATAGATCATTATCTGGTAGAATCAAGAATAGATTTTAGAAAATGGATAAGGAAGGGAAAAAAGAAGCAAGTAGAGCAATGGAGGGAAGAGATATTACGGAGTTGCAGAAACATATATGGAGCTATGTTAACAAAGAGTATAGAAATGGATATATGGTGGAATGAAGTTTTGGGAAAAAATGGATGAGAAAAAGTGCAAGAGGGAGAAAAGTTGAAGATGAAGGGAAGATATTCTTGCAGAGATACTATATTCTTTGCAAGGAATCTTTATCATTATCTATCTATCTATCTATCTATCTATCTATCTATCTCTTTGCAAAGAATCTGGTCAGAAAGGCTAAGGAGGCATTATGATTAGGAGAGGAAGGGAAATGCAGATTTTGATTAAAAAAATAAATAATAATTGGAAGTAGATTGGGAGGATAAAACAAGGAGCAAAGTGAATGGAATTTAGAATTAAGTGCTGAAATAGTGCATGAAACTGAAGTTAGGAAATGCAAGAAGTATTTTAGACATTTGTAGAAGAATGATGGTGATTTTTTGAAGAGTGAAATTGAAATGAATGCTATATTAGTATCCAAAGCTTGATGGAAGGAAGATGACAAACACTGTAAAATGTTGACAAATAGAAAAGCCACAGGTAGTGTAGCATAATTGCAGAAATATTACATTGTGGATGTGATTTGATTATGGAGTGACCTTGCAGCTTGTTTAATGTGTGTATGAAATCTATATCCATGCCTGTTAATTGGAGGAAAGTTAATTTTGTTCTCTTGTAAAAAGGAAAAAGTGCCAAGTGTGAATGTAAAACTCCTGTGAAATTAATTTGTTACGGGTTCCTGGGAGATACTTGGCAGAATTCAGATCGAAAGACTGCAAGAGATAATAATCAACATTGAAAAGTGCTTTGTATAGGCAGTGTAGTAATATGAAACTGACAAGATTTATTGTGCATTTGTTGATTAAGAGAAAGCATAGAACAAATGTTCTTTGAGGTAGTCCTCAACTTACAACAATTCATTTACCGTAGTGACTGTTCGAACTTAACACCAGCACTGAAAAAAATGACTTATGACCATTTTTCACATTTATGACCATTGCAGAATCCCCATAGTCACATGATCAAAACTCAAGATGCTTGGCAACTGGCTCATATTTATGACAGTTGCAGTGTCCCGGGGTCATGTGTAACCTTCTGACGAGCAAAGTCAACAGGGAAGCCAGATTCACTTAAAAAATCATGTTAATAACTTAAGACCTGCAGTGATTCACTTAACAATTGTGGTAAGGAAAGGCGTAAAATGGGGCAAAACTCACTTAACAACTGTCTCACTTAGAAATAGAAATGTTGGGCTCAATTGTGGTTGTACGTGGAGGACTACCTATACATGATGGAAGAAAAGCATGGATAAAAATGGAATGCTTGATGAATGGTTTAACAGATAATATGACAAATATGGATGTTCCCTTATTTGCTTGATCTATTCATGGATAAATGTACAAAAAGTGTAATGACTTTAGAGGTATCTTAGTTGGGAAAGTGAGCATACATGTAGGTTTTTAAGTAGCTGATGCCATGTTATTGGCCCAGGATTGCAGCCGATTGTAGGATGCAGTAAGGACTATGGATCTGAACATTAATTACCAATGTCAGCCTCACTAAGGACCAGGAAATTAATTTCACAGGAGCATTAAAACTATCTTCATCCAGCTTGGCTGATTAACAGACACTTGAAAACCTGAGTATGTGTATTTCCTCCATCTTCTTATACTTATACTATGAATTAAGGATGCATCTGCCTGAGCAGCTGCCAAATACTATCTCATTTCTCAGGACCTAAAAGATGTTTCAGCCCTTTCGACTAGGTAAGGCTTCTTGTATATTTCTGCCAAGGTCATCTCACTTTCCAAGAATAAATGACGATCAAATTGCAAAAGAAATACAGGAGGTGAGAATACCTAGGTGAAGAGAAAGGGGAAAATCCAAAACATTTGTGGTTGGATTGAATTAATGAATTCGCCCCAAAGAATGAAGTTTTAAGAACATATTATGTGAGGCATTGTGGAAGCAAGGATGATTTGTAAGGATAGAAAAATATGAAGAACTAGATATAAGTAGTTTCATTTTTTTCCCCTTATCGCATGCTTTTGGCTTATATTTCTTACCCGTGTTTCCCCGAAAATAAGACCCTGTCTTGTATTTTTTGAACCCCGAAATAAGGGCGTGGCCTTATTTTTGGGGAGGTCTTATTATTTTGGGGCACGTTGAGCAAGACGGGGCTTCTCTTGCCGTCTTACCTGATTTCCAGCTCTGTCTCCCTAACCCTAACCAGAGGAAATGCCCGGGACCGGCTGCGCATGCATTTAAATATTTTTGGGGAGGGCTTATTTTTGGGGAAATAGGATACTCCTTTTCTGCCTTCTATGTAGTGCTGCTTATCCGGGAAGGAAATACAGGTAGTTCTTGCTTACTGATTGCCTTTTTCAGTTGTAACTATAAGCAGTCACTAAACAGTCACTAAACAGGGCAGTCATTAATTGAGGACTATGACTGTTAACTCCCCCAAACTGAAGTCCTTAAAATTTGTGGCGAATGCAATGTCTGCAGTTGCCAGCCAGAGAAATAAGGATTGGTTAGCTGGGAGTTTTGGCATTTAGGGGCGGGATGGGGGGCAGGAATCCATCTGTTCTGTTTTTGTGGTTTCAAAGGCATATGATTCCCATTTACCATGAACAACTTCTGGGAAGTAGCCTCCAATATGTAGAAAACTTTTTTGGGGGAAAATATCCATACCGAATGTGCAAGTTTCTTAGGCTCTTGCTTCATTTCCTCCCTGGAGGAACATAAATCACATGAAAGCTAATTAATGAAATTTTCTAAATGGGCAGTGGTGTTAATGGGCATTAGTGCAGAAGAGTGACTTGTTTTATGTCCTCCCTCTTCCTCTGGGTCAACTCCCCACCCCCATCCCACAACCTCAGACCAGTATGGGAAGATTGCCTTGAACCACTGCAGCCTTGAATTGCCATCTCCTGCCAAGCAACTTGTCAGCTTTGCCTTAATTTCTCATGCGGAAAAATGCCCTCATTTTACACACCGTTTCTTGTTTGCTATTGAGAATGCCCATAAATCAGCACAAGGCCTTTTGGTGTCGAAGTTCTTCTTTGCTGGCGAGGGAAGACTTCTTTTGAAATCCGCAGAGAGGCAAGTATAGGGAACTGCATTCCTTTTGTGTGTGCTCGTGCACACACAGGTGCACGCACGCACATTGACACAAAATGGCTTGCCTCCAAGAAAAGTCATATATAGCCAATAGCTATGAGAGAGTGAGTGGGGGACATGGATGGTGCAAAGAATCAATGCCAATCATTCAAAGCTTTGCAGCATTTTTCAAATGCTTGGTGGTACAGGGGTTTAAGGCACCCTGTTATTAAGCTTATTAAGACCAGCTGCCTGCAATTACTGCAGGGTTCGAATCTCGCCAAGGCTCAAGGTTGACTCAGCCTTCCATCCTTTCTAAGGTAGGTGAAATGACCCAGTTTGTGGGGGCAATAAACTGACTTTGTATAAATATACAAAAGGATGAAGGCTATTGCTGAGCACATTGTAAGCCGCCCTGAGTCTTCGGAGAAGGGCGGCATATAAATCAAATTAAAAAAAAAAAAAGGCTTCTTTGCACATGGGCTAACCAATGAAGTACTTCTCATGGTAAAGGAGTAACTGGTGTGAAGTATATGAACATTCATATCGGGTAGTATTCACTTACTTTTCCTACCCGTTTGCAAATGTGAGTGCGCACGCGTTCCGTCCATGGATGTGCCCGGCCTTCTGTGCATGCGCTTTGCTGCTGTGTGTGCCTTCCACGCATGCGCCTTTCTGCCATGTACACCTTCCACACATGCGCCTTTCTGCCATGTGCGCCTTCCGCGCATGCGCCCGGCCTCAAAAACGTGCCTAAATAGCATGACTTGGGGCCAGTGGGCGGGCCTATCTGTGATTTCCGCTACCAGTTCGGGTGAACCGGCCTGAACCGGCTGAATGATTCATACGTTCTTGGTAAAAATCCAGATGCCTGCATGTCCTGATTCCGTAGGTGTGTATAAAGAGGGAGGGGGATAATTTGAAAAAGGCTTGACAAAAGTGCCCATGGGTTTCTTTATGAGCCCTAATTTTGTGAGCAATAATAACCACAATCGGCACCAGATTCTATGCAGATATTCTACACTGGACCCTTCCAGAGTCCCAACCTTGAGCAAGTTATCAGAAGATACCATGTCCCGACAGATTCCCTTCTTCCCAGTACCAGACATGAGCCATCCAAGCCAAGTATATTTAATTCAATTTGGTTTCAATCTCTGTGAAAAAAAATAAAATGAGCATTTTCTGCGGTGTGGATGGCTTTGGGAGTTGTTCTCCCTGGCTATATCTTATTCCTTTGTGGCTTCAGAAGTTGTGGGAGCTTCATCACTTGAGACTTTCAAGAAAAGATTGGACTGCCATTTGTCAGAAATGGTATAGGGCCATGATGGCGAACCTATGGCACGTGTAGCCATATCAGTGGGCATGCCAGCTCAGCTC